GGTGCCCTCGTGTCCTTTCTATGCCGACCTATGCAATCCGCATGTCCTTCGGTATTATGGAGCCACGTTGCCGTCGGAAGAGTCTTGTGTCCTCTCGCAGGTCCTCTCCAATCAAGTCCGACTGTAAGAGGATTGCAGTATAAATCGACACATTCGTCGCCGAAGGCGTTGCTCACAATCTACTACACGTAGTCCTAGTCGTCGTCGTTGTTGTTGTTGTTGTGCGGCGGGTGCCGCCGAGAAACAAGTATTGTCAATTTTGGTGGGAGACCAGTCCGTCAGTAAGGTCATTGAAGAGATAACTAGTTTCAACTGTTGGCGAGGTCCTAACGACCTACCCCGGCTACCTGCTTCTCGAAGACCAAGTTGTGATGCTTATGCCAGTTAGCGTGTTCATTTCTAGCCACAGTCCTCTATGGACAACAACGGACGCGATAATCGACAACGCGCCCGTTGCGTTCGGCGCAGTGCACAGTCGGAGAAATGATATATCCGTCTACGGTACGCTCGTGTTTCAGAGCAGTTTCCATACGGTATTTCAAGCTTTCTTGAGGCGGGGATGTATCCACAATCACCGCCTGAGGGATCGACCGTCGGGGACGTCAACAGGTGGTGGTTATGGATGCATTCGGACCCTGTGGGGGCCAGGTATGTCATATTCGTTGCCCCATTGGGGTCCCAAGACGTCGGTTCTACAGGCGGTGGGTCTGGCTATGCCTCTGCCTCGCAGCTCTGCTTGTCCGGTCGTTCCTCTGATCCAGGTCGGATAACCGCTTCGTGGCCAGGGCGATCCATGGCCAGAAGAGCCCTTTCGTCCCTTCGTCAGCGTACTTTCTGGCAGCACGACGACTGCCGTGTGCATGAAGCTTCGCACGCGCGCGCGCGCGCTCGTACCACGAGGCTGGCCCTCGCGGGCTGGGGGTCCGTCCTCGTGCGCGTGGCTGGGAGCGCGCGTCTTCGGGAGGATCCCTGCCGGAGACGGCAGGGGCAACACAACCACCAGGAGGGCCACCTCCAGCGATGGGGGTCCACGATGCCTCCCCCTCGAGCTGGGGACGGGGGCCGCCTCGAGCGAGAGGAGGGGGGGGACGGGGCACACCCCCTGGAGGGCCCTCTCTGGCACCTCGTGCTGGTGGTGGTGCTCCTCGTCCCTGCGCTACCCCTCGGGTTTCGCCGCCAGCTCGGTGCAGCCCCCGCAGACGTCTGTGCGGCCGGAGGGACGGCAGCGGGAGCGTCGGCACAGTCCATCGGTCTCTCAGGCCATCCGCGTGGGCGCGAGGATCCCGTCGCGGTCTGTGCCAGGGCGGCTGCCCGGCCGCCCTTTGCCACGGGGGGGTGGCGCGGGTGCGCAGAGAGGCCAAGAGAATCGCGCACTGCGGGGCGGGTCGCGCGGAGTTGGGTGGCCTGGGTCTCGCTGGGGGTACTGAGGGCACGGTGCTTACACAGTGAGGAGGAATCAGTGAATCCAGTAGGGGTCGGGAGTGGCATGCCTCTGAGAAAGCGCGCCGACCCGAATCGCAATCGTTGGTAAATATGCGGGCGGCTAGCATTCTGCTTTCCGTCGTCGTCCTCCTCCCTCCTTTTTCAAACCCCTGGATGGGGTGGGAGGCGGCCGCGGCTCTGGCGGGGTAGCGCCCCTTTACTCCTCCCCATTGATTCCTCGCTTCTCCTATGTGCATCTCTGCTCGACCATGCGTCGTCACACCCTGTCTTCCCCGCTTGCTCCAATGCTGGCAAGTGATGGGGCCGCGCGCCCGCGTTCGTATTATACCGCCCGCTCGATATCCGCACGTAGCGAACGATCCAAGTAGTGGGCTTGGCCAATGCAAGCGTCCGGGGCGCGCTCCACGCGCGGGCGGCAACGGCCGCCAAACACAGTCGTAGCGCTAACACGTAAAGCTTTTGGGTGCCTGCGGCACGGTCTGCCACCGTGCCAGCCCAGCGGTCTGTACGGCGAGGCTACGGGATAAATGTGTTCAGACTTCCGTGGCGTGTGGCATCTGCCATGTCGTCGCACTTGTGTCGGGCCTTCTCGGGGGGTCTTTCGGGGCCCTTTTGGGACGTCCTGGGACCGTTGAGGGCAGCCTTGGCGCCGCGTTCCACGGTGGCCGCCCTCGGCCACGGAACTGTGTTTTCGCATTCCACCTAGCTGGGGACGTAGGTTTCGGTTCTGTCTTGGCAAAGCAGGGGCACCTTCGAGGAGGCGGGCTTTTCGTTCTCGACATGCACAGATTCAGGTGTGATTTGTGTACACAGCTCGCGCCCGTTTTCAACCGTGTATTAGTTCACCGTTTACACATCGTGGCGTGATCTGTGCACACAGCTCGTGCTCCCATCTGTGAATTCGGCTTGTGTTCCTCGCGGGTGGTGGTGGCTGGGCGGGAATTGTTGCGTTTTTGTTCGGCTCGTCCATGTGGGTAGGGGTGTGTGTTGTGCGCGGGCGAAATACAATTTGTGCATCGAACTGTGCACATACTGTGCGCTACTCGCTGGAGTTGCTAGTGGGTGGGAGTTCCACCGATCCCCTGGCTTGTCACGGAAGGGGGCCGTGGTTTCTGGGGACGATGCGTTGTGGGACGGAAAGGATGCGAGAACAGCGTTTTGCGACGGTGCTCAAGGGTGAAGGGTGGAGGAGGGGAGGGGTGGAACTGGGCCCAGGAGGAATTGCAACATCGGCGTCAGCATCATGGGGACGAGGAAAGCGGGGGGGGGCAGAAGGAGAGGAGATGAATTGCACATGGCTGCATGGGGGGGGATGGCGAGAACACACATGTGAGGGGACGCGTCGGGCGGAGGAGGGCGAGGAGGAACGCCATTCACTGGCAGAAGGAAGCGCGAACATGAACAAGTGGGGCATGGAGACGAGGGGGTGGATTCGGATAGGCATGAGGAGGACGTGGCGAAGAAAAGGGGGCACGGGGAGGAGGACGGGATTGGTCCATGAGGGCGAGGCGGGCGCCAAGAACACGCTCATCCGGGCGGCGTTTTGCGCGCGCCCGTGCAACACCCTAGAACAGAAGCGACTGCTGCAAAACAGCGCTATCAGCCTCGTCGTGCGCGGCGTGCGTCCACAGGTTAAACGCTCGTCCGCGACGCTCCTCCGCGTCGCGTTGGTGCCGCCCGTTTTCGCCAGGCCGCGCATGCACAGATGGGCCGAAGCTGTGTGTCAACGTTTGCCGCGCGACCCCATTATAGGAACAAGCCAGCGTTGGAACCCAAGTCTCAGTTGGCCTCGCTTGAATTACGTACGCGCATACGAAGTTGACAGTCGTGGGGCTGGGCGGGGGCCCTGGGAAGCGGCACTTTCCACAAATCTTTCGTCCTGAATCATCACATCGGGTGAAGGTGGGATATTTGAACAATTTCCGGGGAGGGGGGCTTGTAGTCTGGGGGTGGGGTGGGGGGCTGCAGTTCGGGGACATGCCCGCGTAGTCCAGGGGATGGGCCCTGGTAGTCGGGGGGCAGGTGTAGCCCGTACCCCCCCAAAAAAACAACCCGAAATTAGGATTTTCGGGTTAGATTGAGGCGGTCTGGCAGGTCGTCAAAACCACGGGGGGAAAATAATCAAACAATGCCGTCGGCTAGTTCCAGTTGCTCGGTCCCCCTGCCCCCCGCGGACGCCGCGTGGCGGGCGGAGGGGGGGCGGCGGGAGCAGCGGCAGCGGCGCGCGCGGCAGAGTGCAGTAACAGCGCGCCCGCGCCGCCCGCGGCCCATGGCAGGAGCAGCACAACAAGCAGCAGAAGCAACAGCAGGAACAGCAACAGGAACAGCAGTACGATCAGCTGCTACAGTCTCGATGCTGAAGGAGAGAGCGGTTCGGAATCCTGCTCGGATGAGCTTGGCTTATGTTCGGCATGGGTCATCGAGCAGCGCTGCGGCTGTCTCCGCGCGCGCCAGCAAAACTACGGCCCAACACCCTACATCCTTGGGGTGGTTTCTTGCGACGGGGCCCAACACGAAACTGGCCCGGAGATGAGGGGACTGGTTCTGCTACGGTCGCGACGCTAACATATGGAGCAGTTCGGATTTGGAAGGGGTTCGTTGTTCTTTGGGCCCGTCCATGGCTGTTCTTCCAGCGCTCCTCGTGCGCCCAGGCGTTTTCTGGGCCAGAAAGGGCCTTCGCTGGGTTGTACCGCTCGTAATGGTAGCCGTCCGAGGCGGGGTTGTTTCCTTAACCACCTCCTGCTGAATCGACCTTTGGGGACCTCGGCGGGCGGTGGATATGGATAGTGATGTTCGGGCCCTGCGAGGGCCAACGATGTCCATATCCACCGCCCGAAGAGCAGGACCAGGAGCAGGAGCAGGCTTTCCAGAGAGATGAGGTGGAGCTTGGATGTCCGACCACCCCACTGCGTCTCCGAGCTCGTGCACGCCCGTGGGGCGTTGAAGGCGCCACGACGCAGGCCTCTGCCTTCGCTTACCCGCGCGCTCGCGCGGGGGCCACCTTCACGCCACAGGTGCTCGTGCTCGCCCGGCGGCATGCCCCAGCAAACAACAACAGCAGCAGCAGCAGCAGCAGGCGCTGCCGCAGAGCGCAGCAGCGCAGCGCGCGGCGCCCGCGCGCCCCCGCGCAGGCCGCCCGCGCGGGCCCGGCGGCGTGACCTCCCGAGGGGCGCCGGCGGCCCAGCGCGCAGTGCGGCCCGGCGCGCTGTGCGGCGGGAAGAACGCTCGCCATTAAGTCAGCGGGCCCCGAATCTACAATCAACCCGCATGGTGAAGATGGGCCACCTTCCCAAGGGTGCCCTTGCATCCTTGCCTCCTCGGTCCATCGTTGACCACCTTCGTTGGCCGCGCCCCGCGCGAAGCGCTTCGAGGTGGCCTTCCAAGGCCGTCGCATCCTCATCGTTCATCCTTATGATACGGGTTGACTGTAGGCCTCGCAGATGGAGTCCGAGTAGATGAAGTCGGAGGATCGCGCCGCATGGCCGATGCATCGGCGATGCGGCTCGATGCGGAGCCCGATTCTCTCTACCATCGGCGACGTCGCCAGCGCATCGGCGGTGCATCGGCAATGCATCGGTGATGCGCGATCCTCCGAATCCATCTACTCCGACCCCGTGTAGGAGGCCTCTGAGGTCTAGGAAGCTCGAAGAACAAACAGCCGGCATGACCATGACTTCTCGGAGTTCCGCCCGGATTTGTTTTGGATCCGTGCTCCCACGGGCCCCCGTGGCGGCGCCTCCTGCGCCGCCTTTGGCAGGCTCCGGTCGCTCGGGAGGGGGTTCCAGCGCAGATGCAAGGGAGGGGGGTCCAGGTATTGTCAGGAGGGGAAAAATCACAGACATAATTCACCGTCGATCGTGAGAAAATATGGGAAAATATGTATAATCCTGGGAATTGCGTGTGTATATTGTTCTGTCCCTGAGCCCCCCTATTTCGGGGCAGCGCAGATTCAAGAAATCCGCGCGGAGCTCCCGACGTTAGTGTTCTATGGTTTTGCATGTTGATTGGTCGTTTCGCATTACAGTGGGAACCAATGCCAAGAGACACCCTGCTTGCCTCCAGGGTGCCCTGGGTTTCTTGGTCTCCGATGATTTTGCTATGGGAAGCTCAACGTTCCCACACCAGAAATCAGTGGACGCCCTGGGGTCTCAGGGTTGGGTTTCTTGTGGAAGGCGTTTTGTGGTCGGGCCCAGACCGTATGCCTTCTTGCTGCTCCACTCGGGTTGTGTCTACGCCGTTCTTTGTGCCCCTGCAGGGACGGGATCTTCGAGGCTCTCCGCCGCTCCTGGGCCTCCCGGCGCCCTCCACCGGGGACGGGGCCGTCGGAGAATTTTGCCCAGGACGAAGAGCGAGCTGGCCCCGGGGGAGGGCCCCCCTGGCTGCCATGGGCCCCCACTGGCGGCGCCTCGGGCGCCGCCCCTGCAACCCTCAGGAGGGAAAAAAGCACACAGACACAAGTAGTCGTCGATCCCCCAGAAGATATGGGAAAATATGGGAAGTGGGGGGGAAGACAAAAACCCAGAAAATATGGGGAATCCTGTTATTTGTGTGTGTTTGTGGGTCCCAGGTTCCCTTCAAACCCGCGTGGAGCTCCAAAAGCAAGCCCACGTCTAGAGCCGGATTTCCGTAACTTCGGGCGAGTTTGCTTGCGTGGCGTTCGCGAGCGAATACCAGCGTGCAGGTGCCCCTCGACCTGCTTGATTGTTCTTCCCGTTCCAGGTCTGCGGCCTGCTGCAGGTGAAGGTCCCCCCCCGATCCACGCAAGTAGTTCTGCTGGAATCTTAAAAAAGAGGCTCAACAAGGGCGCCCTCGAGGGCGCGAAGTTGTTCGCGCTTCGCGCTTGGTGGTTCGGCTCCGATTCACCCTCATCCTCCTCTTCTCACCTGGGAGGCGGCGCGAGAGCGCGAAGTTATTCGCACGTCGCGCTTCGCGCAGCGCGAAGCGCGAGGTTGAGAGCCCCTGCTCAAACGCAGTTTTTCTGTCCCTCTGGGAAGCGGGTCCTGAGATGCTCCACCGCTCAGGGGCCTCCCGCCGCCCTCCCCGGGGTCCCGGGACCGTCGGAGATTTTCCCGGGACGAGGAGGTGATCCTGTGGGAGGGCCGCAGGGTTCCAGTGTTAAGTCGGGCCTGTCCCCCTACAGGGGGATTGTCGACAAAAAATGAAAAAATACCCCTAAAATAGTCCAATGATGGTTTTGGGACTATGTTGCGAATGTTTTAGTCATTTTGGGGCATGTTTGGTGCATTTCTCGCCGAAAATCACCCTGTAGGAGGACAGGCCCGACCTAATTCTAGTGATTCTGGGTCTCCCAGATGTCAGAATCGGGGTGATGAGGTCTCTGGCAATGGGGCCGCGAAACGTGCGCGCAATAGTTCACGCAGTAGTTGGAAACGATGTCATGCATAGTACCGTGCCTCGTGCAATAGTCTGGGTGCAATAGTTTGCTCGCGGACGCAATAGCTTATCTCTAAGTGTAATAGTTTGTGGTATTGTTCTGTTTGCGAGCAATCGTCAATAGTTGGCCTGCCACGATTCAGTAGTTGCGACTGTTCATGCAATAAAACGGAATCGTTGAGCCCGCGGACGCAATAGTTCGTAATAGTTGTGCGCAATGGTTGCGCGCATTAGTTCCACGCAGCGAACTATTGCAGCTGCGGGCCGAAGAAGCCCTGACAGGGGAGTGGCGTTCACAGACGGGGCCCTCGCGGGGGGATCGCCTTGCAGGGATAGCGTGCCTTCCCGAGATTGATGGTGCCTGTTGTCTGCCACCTTTCCATCCACAATTAGATGGGGGGGAGCTCGGGCGCTGTCTTGTCTCGCCTCCTGTTCGCTCGCTGAGCTCGAAGAAGAAAGTTACACCATGTATCGTGGCAGGAGACCCTGGATCACTTTCACTAGGACCCAGCAGTCCACCTCATAATTAGCCCTTCCTGCTATTAATTATACTTCTACTGTTACGTCTTCATCTTGTACTATTACTGCTACGAAGAAAACGACGATTACTACTACTTCGATTGCTTTTTTACTTTTAGCATCAACATTGGTATTCAAAGCATGGGTATGGTACTAATACGAAAATGCTTGTATGAGTATTCGTACGGATCGTAGTGCTGATGCCACTGTTGGTTTCCAGATGTTTGATTTTAAACGCATTAGTTTAAACATTGATGCTGGGACTGGTACCAATACGAGTAATGTTCGTATCGATAGGCAACGTCGTGTTACACAACGAGAAGCAACGGAAGACAACGGGTGACGGAGCGAGGCGATGGAAGATATCGGACGAGAGCGGGAGACAATGGGAGACAATGCGAGACAACGTCGCCTGGCCGATTCGGAATTTCGTAGCCAACTGATCGCCGATTACATTAAACATATGTGTATGTACAATCTAATACGCATTTACATAAGAAAAGTGAAAGAAGTTAATAATCCTAAGTAGTCGGATGCACCGCCCGGGGGGGCCCAGCGCCGACTTTGTAAGTCCACGCGGGCCTCCGGAAGTTTATGTCTAGACTGTGGCGTCTTCCTCTACCCGGTTCCTCATGGATTCGTCCCCTTTCGTCCTCGCCATTCTCATATCCTCGTCCTCCTTCCCTCATCTCCCCCTCTCTTGCTCAGATTCCAAATCAGCTCCATAAAGATAACCAGGTCGTACGCTGCCCGCGTCATGCCGCGCGTCATGCCGCGCGTACGCGCCCTCGCTTGACATGTACAAGTAGCGTGTCGCGCTGGCGGCCCGCGTAAGCTGCGGCGTAAGGTCGCAGTGGCATCTCGCGTAAGACCCGTTGATTTTGGTCGCTCAAGTATCCTTCGCTTCCTCTCTTCCGCGCGCCCCTGGCGCCATTTTCTTCCACACCTCTCCGCGGGAGTGGTGGCCAAGAAGGATACCCATGATCAGGGGCAACTACAGGAGGGGGTAGGCCCAGGGGCGGGATGTATCGAACCCCAATCGCCGATAGGAGTCTGATAGCCCGTCCGCGCCCATGAACGTCGGGATTCGCCATCGGGAGCCTATCGCCGATCCATCGGCGATGTATCGCCGATGCCATGTCGATGTTCCCTTCACTGAGCTGGTCCCCCCCTCTCGTTGCGCCTCATCCGTGGCAGTGGCGTCCAAGAAGAGGTTCTACGAGGAAAGTCCTGGAGGCCCCGCGCGGCGCGCAGTAGTGGCAGTCATTGCATGATCCGGCCCACGCGTCCGCTCCACACGTCCGCCTCTTCAGGGATGGGACGACGTTCGCGCGGCGGCGGTGTTGCGACGTCAGTCCGACGTCAATTCGACGTGAGGCCGAGGCAAATCCGACGTGACTCCGACGTGTATTCGATGTTAATTGAGGGTCAAGCTGCCGCGCGAGGCCTCAAGGGGTTCCCTCATAAATGACGAGGGGGGTTCAAGAGGGGAGCGGCGAGGACTGGGGGGGGGGGTAAGAAGTTATTGTTGGATTCTTGGAGGGTCTCAGCTGCACCTCGTCGAGTAGTTTCCAGGGGTGTCCGACTCGTCCCGCACCGCCGCAGGAGGCCCGAAAGATAACCTGAAAAACACCAGGCCTCGAGAGGGTTATGGCAAGGGTGTGTGGATATCATGCATGGGTGGGGCCATGACATCTGGCAAGATTTCAAGGTCCCCTGTGCTGATTTCAATGCGTTTTCTCGCCACCCCTGACCGCACACCTGCATCGGGGCATAATTTGCGAACGCCCTTCTTCTTCCCCATCTCCGCTCGATGAGCGACTAAATTCTAGACGTTTCGCGTAACCTCGCGTAGCTCTGCGGCTGGCAGCGGCGACCGCCACCCACAGCGCGTACGTGGCCCCCGGCGCTCCCCCCGTGACGCTGGGGCCAGTGCCAGCTGACACCAGGGCCCTCTCCCTGTGGCTGCCCCCTGCAGGAGGTGCTCGGGCCCACAACCGTGCAACCGTGGCCTCTGCACCCGTCGCTGTTCGCTGGTGCCGTTCGGGGGCCATGGTCCGTGGTGCGTCTATTGATCGGGCGGCACGCATCGCCGACAGGCCTTCTTCTGGATGCGGGATTTCTGTTGGCACTTATTCGAGGCTGGCTTACGTGGTGTGGTCACGGGTTTTTGTTCCTGACGACGGCGGTAGTGTTCGGGCTCCACATTCGGCACATGCTGTCTCGCAGCTGAGGACAAGTTCGC